GGTACATTTGGCATCAAGATTAGGAATATTAAATACTGCTGTGTTTTTATATCAGAACTTATTGCGTTTTATAAGGATTGCAATTTATTGAACCTTGCGGGGTGACACTTGTCTAATTTTTGCTGAACTCTCCTCTTTTAAAAGGATGGAATTAAATGCACTTTGGAGAATACCTCCTGCTTACCCCTGGTATTTTTGGAAAAGGCGTCGTTGGTGTCACCAACTAAATATTCCTAGGGATCAGTAGACGGCTCTATCACGCCTTTTTAGTGGTTACATCAAATCTCTTACTTTTCAACAGGGCGGGAAAGTCTTCCCAGAGTATCATAGGTGCAAGGCTGATCAGGCCTCTCTCAGTCATATTCTTAATTGCTTGAATTTATTTCACTATATTGACAAGGTTTTAGGAAATCCTATTTTAGTTCTAAATGATTTAGTGATTTTTGGTTTTATGGAGATGTTGTAGCTAAATCACACCATCCGGGATAAAAAACAACAGCAATATATATATATATATATATATATATATATACACACAGTAAAAAAAACCGATTTAACGAATTCCTCAGGACCGAACATTGTGATCATTAATTCGGGATTGTTTGTTATATCTAAATCTAAAAAAAGTACAATTTTTTTTTTACTCTTATCCTTTGTAAGTTTTATATGAAGCAACTACACAAAAAATATCCATAGTTAGTAACCGCACATTTTTTATTCAACAACTAAAATATTGTTAGTGAGTTATTACACATGAGTAAATTAGATAGCTGAAAATACTAATTAATAAATGTTTGATAATCTCTTTGTGATTCCCGATTTGAAAGGGCTTGTTTTTAAATTTATGTAGGGAGGAGAATACTGCGTTATTTATATCCGGCTTTATGAAGTATGTTTTCCCAGTTTCCAAACTATGTAAATCATTACAAAATGTAACACTTTTTATGGTAGATTCATTATTGATTTCTGCATGAGAAATGTTATTCATTTCCTCCGACAAATCAACAATTTATCTCAACTTCTATTGCGCAGATAAGCAGCCCGTCATGAAAAGTAATGTAAACCTCAAAATCTTAAAATATCCCCTCAGTTGTGGAGTGGGTTGATATAAAAAAATACATTTCCTATCCTATTCAAAACTCACACTATAAATTACATTAATGTATCTTCTGCACCTGTAAGATCTAAAAAATCTAATAGAACCCTTTCCCGTTTAAATTCGCTGAGGACAAAAAAACCCTTTTTCTGTTTCGGATAAAAAGGATATAACACATTTGGAAAAAAAAACTCTAAATATAAAATAAAAAATAAAATAAATTAGCTGTTGTAATAATTCGTTAATTCGGGTTCTGACTATATATATATTGTGCATAGTGCCTTTGAGGCATGATGGTACTCTAAATAGTCGTCAAGTCTAATAGCTTCTCGTGTGGTTGGTGGAATGAGAAAATAGGTTGAAGGCCCTTGAACCCTCTTGGGTGTTCTCCCTCAAAATTTGTGAAAATAATGAGCAAAATAGTATTGTCCCCTGTATAGTGCTAAAGGTTACGAGTAATGATTGACGTACATCTAGACCCTTGCCATGATGAATTTCGTGGGCCTGAATCTGTCACAGCCAAGATCAGGTGGAATAAGAAACAACAACATATATTTATGAAATATAAAACCAAAGTATTAGATTCGGGAAAATGTTTTCAATTTTTAATTAAAATAAAAGTAACATTATATATATATATATATATATATATATATATATATAAACATATATTGCGGATTTTAAAAAAAAAACATTTTTGTATCGTTAATCCATGCAGAGAATAAGAAACTTATAATACAAAGAAACATAAAGAACTTCAAAGCTTTCTGTTAGATACACACACAAAATAAAAAAAAAAATAATAAAAGTAAACTGAGCATTTTAAATGCAATTACGGGAAAAAAAAATCCCTACACCAAAAAGGTCTTGTGTTAGGTAAACTAAATTTGGTCGGCTTTTTTATACATCTGACATGTTATTGATTTAAATTTCACGCTCTAACTTTAAGTTTTGCTCCATTAGCACCACTTATAACATGAAAATCAGGGTTGCTTTAAATTAGTGCTTTAAATTTCATAAACGTTATTTGTCTCTGAAATTTGACATAATGAGCTGATATTAGCCAAGAATGCCTTTAAGAAGACAAAGCTCACCGAATTTGAACGAGATGAAGTAATAGGGCTACGGAAAGGTGAATTTTCTTTCCATGATATTGCATAGAGACTTGGCCGCAATGTATCAACCGTGCATGATTGTTGGGGGCAGTTTTCAAGGGACAGTCATGCATCTAGAAGACCAGGTTCCGGGCAGCCATGAGGTACTATTGAGAGCGAAGACCTTCGTATTCTGAACACTTCGTTTTGCGTTTACGGCAGAAGTATGAGAGCTGCAATTGGTACCACAGTGACACAATGAACTGTTAGAAATCAGTTACTTCAAGGACAGCTCTACGCCAGGTGCCCTGTAGCTTGTATTTCTCTGACTCTAAGCCATTGAAATTTGCGACACCCGTGGTGTCAATCCAGAGCTCTTTCCTGGACGGAATAGAGATTTGTTGTGTTTTCTGATGAAAGCAGGTGCTGCCTTGATGTCAGTGAAGGCCGTGTGTTGCTCTGAAAGAGGCCAGGGGAACGCCTGTAACCAAACTCTCTGCAGCTTGGATACACTAGAGCTACAACTGGAGTCGTGGTCTAGAAAGCAATTTTCAATAACAGCAAAAGCACTCTCTTGGTTATCCCAAAACACTGACTTCAAATTTGTGCGCCAGTCTGGTAATTCAAACTATAGTACTGTCATTCATGAACAGCATTCAAGGGGGAGTTTTAAAACAGGATAACGTTATCCATCACACCACTGTTACATAACAACGTGCTCCACAGAGTGTTGTTATATTGCCTTGGCCTGCGAGATCACCAGAACTATCTCTAATTGAGCACGTATGGAATATCTTTGTACAATAACTCCATTATCATCCACAGCTAGCACTGATCTTCATAGTATTGACGCAACAAATATAACAAGCATGAAACTCCATACCCCAAAGTGACATTCGGCACCTCTATGACACAACGCATGTAAGCTTGCAGGTTTGCATTCAAAATTCTGGAGATTAAACAGGCTTTCAATATAACAGCATTTTACATATGAAACGCATTTTCTTGGACTTAAATTAACCTGCAAATTTGAAAATTTAATCAATTAAGCATGTTAACTAGTAAATTGAATTTTTCAAATTTCATTACTGTAGAAAATTTTTTTCCTGATATTGGGATTTTTTCCCCGTCATTGTATATGTATGTCATAAAAAACCATATTTGAATATAAATAAAGTAGATGAAACGCTGAAATATATTGTATTCATTGAAAATATGCATGTTATAAATATTCTTTCATAGAATCATTTCAAAATGTGTACTTGTGCTGATAACGCGGTAAACTTTTCCATTCCCATCTGAAAAACCAATTTATTCTAAAAATCATTTAACGTAAGTATATCGCTATCTTGTTTTCACATTAGTTGAAAATTTAAAAAAAAAATAAAAGAAGAAGCTTTTACAACTTGTGAAATCAGCCGCCACAAAAGGAAATAGCGAAATTTACATTTCCTGCTGTCAAAAAACAAAAGACTTACGCCAATTAATAGAAATTTATGGGTTTTGAATGCATGGAGTACAGGCAGTAGTTAAAGATGAAATCGTTGGTTTATTTTTAAGCCAATCAAATTTTTTATCTGAAGGTTCCTCTCATCTCCATGCGTCTTGTAAAGGTAAAAAAAGCCTCCGAAATTCATCCGAAAGTATTTTAAAATTTGAAAGTGTTCAGTGCCAGCTGCTCTTTCTCTTTCAGAAACAAAATAATTCTCCAGTTAGGATCAGAATGACATTTATAAGAAGTCGCTGGGAAAAAAAAACATTTTCTCAGAAAAAAAAGGGAAAGCGTAAAAGCGATTAGATGCCATTAGTCTGGAAGTAAATGTTAATTTTATTGTTCTTGACATTCTTTTTCCTCCTTATAAAAACAGTTTTTTTCTTTCCCTTGTACCTAAGATAAACCTCAGCGGAAAATAAGTGTCAGCTGTCGTGTGATTGAGAAGTCTCTGTATGTATTAACCTTTTTGGTATAAGCATTTGTGACATAAATAAAATATGCACACATAAATAACATATCTTACTCACACTATTAGAATAAATAAAAGTGTATCACAGATAAGGCAAAAGCAAATACTTTTATGGATATGTTTGTATAACTTAACATTGGTAATAAATAACAACATTGCATATTTAATAATTAAACGTCCTTCAAATATAAAATACGCAACAGAAACATCAAAAACCGGTTTTAAAAATATGTCAAGTACATTAATGCGATTGCTTGTGACATTTTGCAGCTTTGATTCTAAAATTCAAATTATAAATTCTCCAGGAAATATTCTGTTGGAAAGTAGAGAGAAAACTAATAACCACAATAGAAAACAAAATCAGATTAGCACAGATATAGAAAAATAACCGGGCAATTCCTGTTACCGTGTGAAGAGAAATTAGAGAAACTTTTGCTGAATCCGAAATTAATTTGAAATGTAAGAGAAATGGCATTATTGGAGAGGAAATGGAAATAACAATTGCTTATGCATTTCTGTGAATTGATTTTTGACTAGATATGATATCCACATTATTATTATTATTTGTATCTGACTAAGCAAAGAAACTCAAATTGAAAGAAAAACAAGCAATATAAAATAAAAATTAAGTCAATTTCTACTTAGTTCTACAAATACAAATGTATTTTATTTATTTTTCTTTAAATCATTACGATTAATATAAATATGTATATATACATACTACAGAATCACTCAATTAAGCGGCAAAATAGAAAGTGATTTTCCATTTTATATATGGTATTGGACTATTATTTTTATTTGTGCTATTATTAATTCAATCATAAATCTTATTCTCAGAAATTAGGCCATCCCAGGTAGGACTCGAACCCACGACCTCTGGATTAAAAGTCCAACGTGATATTCATGACGCTACAGGGACAAAAGGAGCATTATTCCTTTTTATATATGGTCTTGGACTATAATTTTTGTTAGTTACTATTCATTATTCTTTATAATTAATTAATGAATTAACATTTGAAAAAAACTGTATTAACACTCAGTGTCATCTACTACAAGTTTAAAAAAATATATTTGAATTTGAATGGATGAATACAAAGTATTTTATTAACGAATGAAAAATTGAATAAGATATATATATATAAATAGGGAGATTAAGAACTAATAGTTGGAATTGAAAAAGGTATATATAATTTAATTATTATATGCTTTGTGATAATAACTGCTTTTGTTTATAATAATATAGATACACATGTTCAACGTTTGAAAAAAAACGAGAGAAGGTTTTTTATTTAAGCTATTAAATTTAATTAAAACTAATGAAACGATACGTTGTTTCTTAGTTTAATGGGTGAGATATCGACTGATTTTTCATTCATTAGTATCAACAGCCCATAAAATATTGAATGCAGAAAGTTTGAAACTATACTTTACATATTAAAAATAATATACTATTAAATTTGAGGTACAAGTTGCTCTTTTAACACAAAAAACAAGATCGAAATTTACGGGTGCGTGTTAGAAACATGCTATAAAAGTGATAGCTTTATATATAAAAATAGAAAATAAATGAAAGTTTAAAAATTTCAGATTTCTACATATTTTAGAATACTGTTTATTTAAAAAAAAGAATGATATATCTAATGAATTTAAGTGTTGTAGTTCTGGAAGTTTCCTATTTTTACAAAAGACTGGGATAATATTTCATATAAATTACTTCAAAATGTAAGAGCATTGTATATATTCATTTCAGGTTCCTTCGTAAAAAAGGGGGTACATGTTCTTACGTGGAATATACCTAAGAATTTAAAAATGCAGCTGATAAATACAGGTGCACGTTATAAGCCGGATTTAACGGTACATTAATAAATAACATCTGTTCTCATAAAAAAATTTTAAAAAATCTGTAATAACCATTTTATACAACTAAAATTTCGAAATATATTAGACCATAAAATTTCTTTCATGCTCTTAAAGAAAATATTCAGACATTTCGCAAATATATATATATATATATATATATATATATTTGTTTTTTTTGCAGGATATAAATAATTTTGTAATTTTTGTTTTATGTAACTGTTGGTCCTTAAAAATCTCAGACTATTAATTTAGTGTTGGGTTCTTTGATTTTTTAGCCAAAATAGCAATTAAAATTTCACAAATTTGGTTTCTTTAGAACAAAAATTAGAAAGGAAAACTGTCATTCCTTTTTTTTTACCTGAATTTAATGATTTTCTCCAATAACTCTTTGGTAAAATATAATTGTTACGCGCATTTCCGTATATGAATTTACGAATATCATTAAATGTTTATAATTGACTCTGAAAGAAACATGAATTTAAATAGTATTTGTTTCATGAATTCAAAAAAATGCCATAAAATCTTGTATAAAGCATTTCATGCAAGTAATTAGTAATATACCTTTGCTATTTTTATTTTAGTTTATTTTGTTAGATTTGAATCACATGACTTAAATTACCATTAGATATAAAATATTCTATGAATGTGTGTATTAAAAAAGAAAACATCGTGAATATAAAGTAAAAAATAAAGTGATAAAAATTGCAATGTGAATACGTTCATCTAGTTATATTATGTTAACAGTTATGTTAATATATTAATATGTTTCACTATGCTGAAAAATATTTTAATTCAAATTCTCATAAGTCTATTTTTTTAAAATCTTTTATATATATATACTCTTAGTTCATACTCTTCATATATATATATATATATATATATATATGTATATATCTTGTTGAAATTTTCAATCGTTAATCAAATACTTTTTTTTCATCCACTCAAGTTCAAATACATTTTTTATTACTTGTAGTGGATGACACTTGATGTTAATATAATTTTTTCAAATTTTAATTCATTAAGTAAATTTAAATAACAAATAAAGAGTAACAAACCCAAGAAGTAATCGAACACCATATACAAAAAAAGGAAAACATGTCGCCACGTCCCTGTAGTGCAATAGATAGCTCGTTGGACGTCAAATCTATAGGTCATTGGTACGAATTCCACCTAGGATGGCCTAATTTCTCAGAATGTGATTTCTTTTTACTATAACTATTTTATTAAAAGAATTAATTTTAATTAATGAATACATAGCAACAATCAAAAATATTAGTCGAACACCCTGTATAGAAAGAAAAATGGAATATTACCTGGAAAATCGCTTTCTAATTCGCCACATAATGGTGAAATTCTTTCATTTATATATGCATATTTATATTGAAATTATTTTATAAAAATGAAATAAAAAAGAGTTCCTTTGTTGACCTAAGTAAGAATTGATTTTAGAAAAAAAAAACTTTACAATACTTGTTTTATTTAATGAACATTTAAAATTTTCATTCATCTTAATAGTAAATATTAAAAGTTTTTCTCTCCATTTAAAGAAACATTTCAGCTAAAATTTATGAAATGAATAAAACACACAGTTCTCAATAACCGATGAAGTATGTTATTTTTAAAGATGACGTTTTTATACCTCTGAAAATATGTCTACTTTTGACAAATTAATTTTTTCAAGCATCCCTTTTGAATTGATTTTATGTAAATCCCTTCAAAATTATTGTCTTTCACAAAGCATAGTAATTTTGATTTATTCAACTCGACTTTTCATTTTTTATTTTTGTGCGCGAAAAAGTATTTTAAGATAGAATTTTTCCAAAATCTACCTTAAAACATCATACCTTAGGCAAAAAATTAAGCTTTTTTTCCCCTGTGAATTTAAAAAAAAAATGTATGGTTGGTTTCTGGTTTCTTAGAAAATGGATATCGTAAAAAAAAAAAATTTTGTTTCTTGAATACGAATATTAGTAACTTGATTTCGATATTGATAAAATAGATTTGTAAAAGATTTTTTTTCGTTTAATTAGATTTTGGACTAATGTTCTACAATAATAACAGAAGAGATGCAAGTAAATTTTAAACCGTATAAAAGTTAAGAGGAAGATATTCCAACTTAGAGTTTTATTAATCTTATAAATTTCAAATTTGAAACCCAAGTTTCCCAGGAGTTTTTTGGATACCTTATGGAAATATTTAACCGAATAATACAAAAAATATTATGCAACATAAACTTAAAATTTTTACAGAATTCTTAGGTTAAGTTACTTTTTAGCTGCTGGGATTTTATGTGTTGCATTTATACGTCCATTTATTGATTTCCCCTCTCACATGAAGAAAAAAATATATTATTCAAGTTTTACAATTGAATAACATGCTCATATTTTGTCATGATGCGTAAAAGCTAAATTTGGGGGCAAGGAAGTATAAAAATTGTGCATTTAAATAAAATAAGTAAAAAATATATAAATATAAGTCTCAAAGCTGAACAAATAACAAAGTTTCCAAGTTAAGACAATTTATATTAATATGTACACTATATATAAAGGGACAAAATAGTACGAACACATAGCCACACAATAATATGTTGAGTTTCCATAGGACTGCAAAAGAACTCCAACTCACCTCGGAATGAATGCCACAAATTTCTTATAGGTGACCGGATACAGATTGTTCGAATATCGAAACAGCAATCACGGTTATTCGAGATAATCCGACATGGAGATTTTTTTTCTCTGAACTGTCTTTCGATGAAGGCACAAACGTACTCTACAGCTTAAGACAGCGTTACTCAAATGTGGGGCGCGCCCCTCTTGGGATAAGGGACAACTCTACGATGGGGGCGCGAGCATATTGAAAAGTCAAAAACAGAAGATTATTTAAAAAAATTAATTTGCTTAAAGTAAACAAACAAAATACAATCTGACATAATAAACAATAAAATACACATTTACACTGACATATTACACTCATAAATGTATCAATACTGCACAATGTATTTTATATAATTAATTTAACAATACAAAGTTAAGGACAAGTTTGATAAATACCAGTGACCCCATGTGATTGTCATACGTAGAAATTACATACAAAAAGTAACACTTGTCTTAATAATTTGTACGGATTATAATAAATCCCTTAACCCGCGATCACTCGCGCGGGGTGTTCTCTACACCCCAGCAACAAGAAAAGCCTCCTACAATTCTAAAAATAATGCGCAGAGCCACGATTTTTTCTGTAGCTGCCCATTTTAGGTCACTGAACCTTCAGACCTGATGTAATCAATCTCGCTAGAACGATTGGAATGTAACGACCTTCAAAAGTTTATTTGGGGTACTGAGAACACCCCGCGAGTGATTGAGTTATATTTTCGTACTCGAAGCATCTACGGAAAAGTACGTTTTACTCTTTCCGCTTACATTTTTTTTTTCAAATATATTAATATGCATGAATATTTTATTTAAAATTTCAATAAATGTGGTATAAAAATAATATAATTCTATAAAATAATTGTAAAATACAATTTTTTTTAAGAAAATTTCAAAACATTTTCTAGAAATTATGACAAAAACTACATGGGAAAGGGAGAAATAGCGACTTTGTCGTCTATTAGATACTGTATCAACAGATTGAAAAAATGAACTAAGTGAATTCGATGACTGCGTGATTTCGTAACCAAAGTTGGAGAGATGAAACTTGAAATCGTAAATTTTTAAAATACAGGTGGTGTTGATTCCACTGATAAAATGTGCAGTATATATTATGTATCGCGAATATGTAACCTTTGGCCATTGCGAATATTTTATCATCTACTTAATACCGCAGAAATTAAGGCTTCCTTTGTCTATCATTCGGTTCTTCCTGAAAATAAATGAAACATTCAATATTATTAGAGGAGATTAGAATGGATCTTGTGCAGCCACTGTAGGATATGAGATCGGATTTCCCAAACATTAACAAAATACTCAAAAGAAGCTTTACTGACACAGAATATATTAAAAAGAGCATTAATCCCCCTAAAAAAGGGGCGTTGCACTGCTTGTCCACGGGTAAAAGATG